GTGTGGCCGCACTTGCTTTCGTGACATAGTTTTGGGGTCCAAGTGGGGGCGATCCTACGTTTTGGTGCCCAGCACTTGCCATGAATCTGGCTCGAATTTTTAAGCGAATTTCAGCTACCAAGTAGGGGTGATCCTACTTCTGGGCACTTGTTTTTTTTGCAAATTCAGCAGAACTGGAGGTTGTTGGGTCTGACTTCCCTCCAGGAGGCTGGGTTTCCAAGTAGAGGTGACGCTACTTGAAGGCCACAGGTTGCCGATCGACACTGCCAGGCAGTGACCAGAGGGTTGTGGGCCTCTGCTGTCTTAAGCAGGTTGGGTTCCACGCAGGAGGTAACCCTACTTCGTGTGGCCTTATTGCTTTAGTGGCATAGGTTTTGGGTCCAAGTTGGGGGTGGTCCTACTTGAGAGTGCCCAACACCTGCCATGAACATGGCTTGAAATTTTAAGGAAATTTCAGCTTCCAAGTAGGGGTGATCCTACTTCTGGGCAACTTGCTTTCTTTTTTTTTGGCATTTTCAGCAGAGCTGGAGGCTGTTGGTTTTAACTGCCCCAAGCAAGCTGGGCTTCCAAGTAGAGGTAACGCTACTTGGGGATCACAGGTTGCCCACTGGCACTGCCAGGGAGTGACCACAGGGCTGTGGGCCTCCGCTGTCTTAAGCAGGTTGGGTTTCAAGCAGGAGGTCATCCTACTTGGTGTGGCCGCACTTGCTTTCGTGACATAGTTTTGGGGTCCAAGTGGGGGCGATCCTACGTTTTGGTGCCCAGCACTTGCCATGAATCTGGCTCGAATTTTTAAGCGAATTTCAGCTACCAAGTAGGGGTGATCCTACTTCTGGGCACTTGTTTTTTTTGGCAAATTCAGCAGAATTGGAGGTTGTTGGGTCTGACTTCCCTCCAGGAGGCTGGGTTTCCAAGTAGAGGTGACGCTACTTGAAGGCCACAGGTTGCCCATCGACACTGCCAGGCAGTGACCAGAGGGTTGTGGGCCTCTGCTGTCTTAAGCAGGTTGGGTTCCACGCAGGAGGTAACCCTACTTGGTGTGGCCTTATTGCTTTAGTGGCATAGGTTTTGGATCCAAGTGGGGGTAGTCCTACTTGAGGGTGCCCAACACCTGCTATGAAATCCTACTTCTGGCAACTGGATTCTTGCAATTTCCGCAGAGCTAAAGGCTGTTGATTTTGGCTGCCCCAAGCCAGCTAGGTCTCCAAGTCGAGGCACCGCTACTTGAGGCTCCCAGGTTCCCCATCGACACTGCCAGGCAGTGACTACAGGGTTGTGGGCCTTTGCTGTCTTAAGCAGGTTGGGTTCCAAGCAGGAGGCAATCCTACTTGGTGTGGCCTTAATTGCTTTAGCGACATAGGGTCCTTCCAATTGGGGGTGATCCTACTGGTGGGTACCCAACACTTGCCATGAATATGGCTTGAAGTTCAACCGAATTTGAGTTTCCAAGTAGGGGTGATCCTACTTCTGGAAACATGGTTTGTTTTTGCAATTTCAACAGAGCTGGAGGCTGTTGGTTTTGACTGCCCCAAGCAGGCTGGGTTCCCAAGTAGAGGCAACGCTACTTGAGAAGCCCAGGTTGCCCATCGACCCTGCCAGGCAGTGACCACAGGGCTGTCTTGAGCAGGTTGGGTTCCAAGCAGGAGGCAATCCTACTTGGTGTGGCCCTAATTCCTTTAGCGACATAGGTTCGGCGTCCAAGTAGGGGTGATCCTACCTGAGGGTGCCCAGCTGTTGCCATGAATATGGCTTGAATTGTTTAAGCGAATTTCAGTTTCCAAATAGGGGTGATCCTACTTCTGGAAACTGGATTTTTGCAATTTCAGCAGAGCTGGGGGCTGTTGGTTTTGACTTCCCCAAGCAAGCTGGGTGGCGGCAGTGAGCACAGAGATGTGGGCCTCTGCTGTCTTAAGCAGGTTGGGTTTCAAGCAGGAGGTAATCCTGCTTGGCGTGACCTTATTGCTTTAGTGACATATGTTTTGGGCCCTAGTGGGGGTGATCCTACTCGCTGGTGCCCAACACTTGCCATGAATGTAGCGCCAGTTTTTAAGCGAATTTCGGTTTCCAAGTAGGGGTGTTCCTACTTCTGGAAACTTGGATTTTTGCGGTTTCAGCAGAGCTGGAGGCTATTGGTTCTGACTGCCCCCAGCAAGCTGGGTTTCTAAGTAGAGGTAGCGCTACTTGAGGATCACAGGTGGCCCATGGGCATTGCCAGGCAGTGACCACAGGGCTGTGGGCCTCTGCTGTCTTAAGCAGGTTGGGTTACAAGCAGGAGGCACTCCTGCTTGATGTAGCCCTACTTGCTTTTGTGACATAGGTTTGGGATCCGAGTGGGGTCAATCCTACGTGGTGGTACCCAACACCCGCCAGGAGCCTGGCTCGAATTTTTTAAGCGAATTTCAGCTCCCAAATACGGGTGCTCCTACTTCGGGACACCTGAGGTTCTGAGCATTCAGTAAACTGGAGGCTGTTGGTTTTTGACTTTTCCCGAGCAAGCTGGGTTTCCAAGTAGAGGTAACGCTACTTGAGGGTCACAGCTTGCCCACCGGCACTGCCAGGCAGTGACCACAGGGCTGTAAGCCTCTGCTGTCTCAAGCTGGTTGGGTTTCAAGCAGGAGGTAATCCTACTTAGTGTAGCCCTACTTGCTTTAGCGACATAAGTTCGGCATCCAAGTGGGGGTGATCCTACCTGAGGGTGCCTAGCAATTGCCATGAATATGGTTCGAATTTTCAGCGAATTTCAGTTTCCAAGTAGGGGTGATCCTACTTCTGGAAACTTGGATTTTGCAATCTCAGCAGCGTGGGCTGCTGTTGGTTTTGACTCCCCAAAGCAAGCTGGGTGTCGGCAGTGCGCTCACAGATATGGGCCTCTGCTGTCTCAAGCCGTTTGGGTTTCAAGCAGGAAATATTCTGCTTGGCTTCAGTGACGTAGGTTTGGGGTCCAAGTGAGGGTCCTACTCGTTGGCACCCGTTTTTTTTTTCTTCTTTTTTTTTACGTTCTCAGTAGAGCTGGAGGCTGTTGGTTTTGACTGCCCCAGCAAGCCAGGTTTCCAAGTAGAGGTAACGCTACTTGAGGTTCACAGGTTGCCCATGGGCATTGCCAGGCAGTGCCCACAGGGCTGTGGGCTTAAGCTGGTTGGGTTTCAAGGAGGAGATGATCCTGCTTGGTGTGGCCTTATTGCCTTAGTGATTCAGGTTTGGAGTCCAAGTGGGGGTCATCCTACTTGCTGGCACCCGTGTTTGCGTTTTCAGCAGAACTGGAGGCTGTTAGTTTTGCCTGCCCCAGCAAGCCAGGTTCCAAGTAGAGGTAACGCTACTTGAGGTTCACAGGTTGCCCATGATCATTGCCAGGCAGTGGCCACAAGGCTGTAGGCCTCTGCTGTCGTAAGCAGGTTGGGTTTCAAGCCGGAGGCAATCCTACTTGATGTGGCCTTACTTGCTTTTGTGACATAGGTTTGGGGCCCACGTGGGGGCGATCCTACGTGGTGGTGCCTTCCACTTGCCATGAATCTGGCTCGAACTTTTAAGCGAATTTCAGCTTCCAAGTACGGGTGCTCTTACTTCGGGAAACTTGAGGAGCAGGGCATCTATGGGCGAGTTGGCTATGGTGACCTTATGGCAGTGAAGGCTTGCCAGGACGAGAGTGTCACCAGCTTGACTTCAGAGATTGAAGAATGCTTCGAGGGGATCGAAGCAGTGATGCGTTTCGAGCCAAAACGTGAATTTACAGTTTTGTTGCTACCAATTGCGAAGAACTACAATTCCTGTGGCAGCCTGCAGAGACCCACATTGCGCAGTTGGAGCTCTCCATGGTAATTTACACCTTGAGTGAGAGCCCTGGCCTTCTCCGCCATCGACACGGTCTATGGTTCCTCGACGCTGTGGCTGCAGTCATGACCTTAGTGAGGGGACGTTCTAGCAATTCGGACCTAGCAAAGCTAGGCCATCTGATTCCTTTGGCCCTCTTCGCACTGCGTGCCCAGGGCTACTGGGAGTACGTCCAGAGCAAGAGCAACTGGGCCGACGACTTGGTGGCGCTGCCATGGATCTAGCTTTCATTCGTCGTACCTCCCCACAATCTTTTTCCAGTTGCCATTCGTTGCAGTCATTCTCACCTTTGAATTCCTCTAGTGCTTTGGGTGTTGGAGTGCATTGGGTGATACCTGCAAAGGCAGGTCCCAACCTGGGGTGACCAGGTTGCTGACCAGAGGTGATTCGGTCTGGGGCTATGTGCGAGTCACATTGTGACACATCCAAAGCAAACCTGAGGAGAGCAGGTGAAACAGACTGAACTTTGGTAGGTGGTTGAAAAAGAGCTGTGCGCGGAAGACGTGGTGAGTTCTTCATATGTCACTTTGAGATGTATTCATGCATTGAGTTTGGCAGGCTTGGGTGTGCATGTGTCATCTTTAAGTGAGTCAATGAATGCTTTCATTTTGGCTCAAGTGGAGCTGAGCCAAAATAGCATTCATTGCTGTTTCTTTCCCCACCCTCCCAACCCTAAGAGCCGACCTCCCGTGGAGATGTCCGCCTAGGTTAGGGGAGCCTGCATGGCAGGCGAGTACATAGCCTCTTTCGGGGATACTCTTTTGGGGCAACCAAAAGAAACTTCCCTCCCTTAGGTTAAGGGACGGGTGATACCTGCAAAGGCAGGTCCCAACCTGGGGTGACCAGGTTGCTGACCAGAGGTGATTCGGTCTGGGGCTATGTGCGAGTCACATTGTGACACATCCAAAGCAAACCTGAGGAGAGCAGGTGAAACAGACTGAACTTTGGTAGGTGGTTGAAAAAGAGCTGTGCGCGGAAGACGTGGTGAGTTCTTCATATGTCACTTTGAGATGTATATATATATATAACTATATATATATAACTATATATATATATATATTTATATATATTTATAAAGCTATAACTATGACTATGATTGTGAACATTAAACCATGTTCAGTCACACAGTTTTGAACATCTACAGGTCAACCATTTCTTTGACCCGCTCCTAGGACTACCTGCGCTCGGTGCTAGATCCAAGTCGTCACCGATTCTCCGCTCGCGTTGTAGCTGGACTGGTTCTGCTGCTGCTTGCAGCAGCTGGTGTCGTGGTTGTGGCGGTTTTGAAGCCAGAACCTGAGCTTGGTGGTGCTGTTGTCCTGCGAAGTCCTGACGGAGCGCCACTGCTGGGTCTGGCACATGTGAGCCCAGCTGCAGTGGATGTGTTGTGCGTGATAGATATCAGTCAAATGGTGGCGCGAATCAATCTCGAGGGCCTTTTGATTCCAGTCACCGATGACCTTTGTGACTTTTCGACCCGGAGAAAACAGGGAATCAGAATCACCAGACAGGATCGGGAGAGGTGCGCCAGCTTCATATTACTGAACATTCTCAACTCCGCCTTGTTTCCAAACTGAACTAGAAAATTTTTAGGTCGTTTGTTTTTAACCATCGACAAGGGCCAGAAGTGACAAGGCATCCGTCTGCTGGGGCTGTAGCTGTAGCTACTTGAAATAGCTGTTGGGATTTCTTCCTAGTGAAAGTACAGTTTTTACTTCTGAAGTCGACTGCTGGATGTCTTTCAAACTAAGAGGGTCTGATCGAATCAGCAAGGTTTGTGGGAGCATTGGCTGACTCCTTTACGCAGTGCTCTGCATCTCTCAATGTTCCCGCCAATTGTGCAGCAAACATTGCGTCGATAGTGGGAACCACAACTCTTATCGCACAATCCTCCGTGCAAATGGATTATGCTTGTGTTGATCATGAGTGGAACATCTCAAAGAAAGTCGAAGAGAAGAAAATTGAATGGAAAAAAATCAAACTGGATTTGCAAAGAGACGTCCAGAAGTTCTTGGAGGATCAAGGGTTGAATGCGGACAACAAGTTGCCCCCTGACCCTGCAGTCCCTAAGAATAGGGTCTACAGAAGCATTTCGGGATGCTTTGGTTCCATTACGCTTTCTGTGACCTTCATCATGAGACTGGCCATCATTCTGGCTGATGCGATCATTCACTGCCCCAACAGTGGTGGAGCTCAGCCGAAGATTTGTGCTTTGGATCTCTTGGGCGTGCTTGGCTTGATGGGTGCATCCACGCGCTTCATTGCAACCTCGGTCCTCACCTTTTCTCAGATAATTGGTAAGTTCAACGAGGATGCTGATTGCGCACAGGCCGCCAGTGCCCTACCCACCGGTGTCTTCAGTGCAGCCGCGGTCTTTGGGAATGTGGAAGCTGCCTGTAGCTTGGCGTTTGCCAAGTGGAATCCAGACAATTGGCCAGCTGAAAGGACTGTGCCAGAAGCAGAAGAGGAAGAGGATGATGGAGACCTCATCATCCCCGATGTTTAGTGTGGCGCTCATAGCCTGACGCTGATAATCACTCATATATGGAATATTCTTGAAAATGTAGTAGCATTAGCATTCAGAGTCCCCAGATGGATGTTGCTGATTGTTGCTGTATGTTGCCCTAAGCACTGGAAAGCATTGGACAGATTTGGAAAGTACTTTCAGGCAATAAGCTTGGTCACTTGCTCATGACTCTCACATCCATTCTGGGACATGGAAATTCAATCGGATACACTCAACATGTGCGGACGATCTCTTCAGAATGGAAAATGGTGCCTCAAAACCAATGAAAACAAACAAGATCTTCGACTCAGACTGGAGAGATCGATATATCTTTGCAGTAGAGCTGCCTCTGCTTGGTATAATCCTCTCCCCCTAATACAAAACCCCCAAAAAATAAACACCTCAGGTAGTTTTTATTATTAGCAGGTATTTATTATTAGGGAAGCAAAGGAGACTCTAATAATAAATTAAAACCCTTAGTAGAAAAAACTATGTTTTTCAATTTCAAAATCAATTAAGTTTCCTTTTATATCGCAATTAAAATGTTGCCAAAAATTGGATTTCGAAGCGGACCCTAATAATAAGTTTAAATCCTTAATTAAAAAAACTATAGTTTTTTCGATTTCAAAATCAATTAATTTTCCTTTCATATCGTAATTAAAATGTTACCAAAAATTTGATTTCGAAGCGGACCCTAATGATAAATCTAAACCCAAAAAAATCGATTTCAAAATCAATTAGATTACCTTTTATAACGCAGTTAAAATATTGCCAAAAATTGGATTTCGAAGCTTCCCCCTCATACTAAATTAAACACCCTAATATATAAAACTAAAATTTTCGGACGGACCCTAACAAAAAACACCTTGGTTGACTAGTGTGAGTTTGAGATCATTTAGATCCTTACACCATGTTCCTTGTCGTGGGTTTCGGTTCAAACTACCCTAAACCCTAACTTAGGGCCCTTGAGCTGTTGGTTGCAAAAACGGTCCCTAGCGCAATTTGGTAGCGGAGATGGTTGCCGGAGAGTTCGCTCCCGACATCCGGACTCTCACGGTGATAGCCTAGGTCCGAAAACTGTGTGTGTGTGACACTGTGTGTGTGTTTGCTGTGTGTAAGTGTGTAACGTAGAAACACCCTGAGGATCAGAGAAAACCCGTCGAACGTCATGTCGATGGGTGCCCGAGCAGTCCCTCAGGACTTTTGGAAACCAAGAGTGGAGCCTACGTGTATAGTGGAGACCCGTCCCACTTTCATGAATGGCAATTCAGAACTCTTCTTCGAGTGGAACTGTGCAAGAAGAAGATGGAACAGAAGGCCAAGGAAAAGGCCAAGGAAGCATCCAGGTCGCCGGCTACTAGCCCTGCGAGCGGGGAGATCAGCCGACTGATGCAGCAGGATCAAGAGATGCTGGAGCTACTGCTGCTGAGGTATCACCCCAAGCCCCATCAAGTGAGCAAGAGATCGGTGGGCTTGCTTCACCTCGTAGTCAAGGAGACGATGACTTGCTTGATGTCTCCCCTTACGTGGAGCTGGTCACAGAGGTCATGGAAGGGCTCAGGGGAGATGCATTTCTCATGGCCAAGGACTTGGGATTGAGTGCGCTGATGGATGTAGGTCCTCCCACCGGACTGGACTTGCTGGTGGAGAGAATCAAGGAGCATGTGTTCCCTTTGAGGTCACATGAGGCAAGGGAGCTTTTCGGACTCGGCCAACAAGCTAGTGGGATTTTGTCTTTTATAGGGAGACCAAAACGTTGGTGGATCCAACTCAAAGAGTTAGACCCAGAAATGACGATATCCACCCAATGCGGGCTGAGCTCCTCCTTGAGACATCAGGCCTCACCCGTCATGAACAACTCATGGTCAAGACTGCCTGCCCGAAACCGAGCTTCGAAGGATACAGTGAGACTCTACTTGAACATCATGAAAAAAACCATTTGAAGGATTCAAGAAGTCTGGCCCCTCCTTCAAGGCCCTTTCCAGTGAAAGGAGCAGGAAAGAACAAGGCAGGGGGGTGGTATCGATCGGGCTACTTTGCAGGTGACTATGATTGCCAAGCAGGAGATGAAGCAGCAGGTGATGGAGACAACTATGAATGGAATGAGGACTATGGTGAAGGAGCCTATGTTGGGTATGGCGGTGAGCCCACTACGGATGACCCAGATGATTGTGACTGGGTATCAGATGAAGATCTTGGCATTACACTGACAGCCATGGCTGCCTGTGACGTGGATGAGACCTCGACAGATGGTCTTGAAGAACTTGGTGAGGCTTGTCAGCACCAGCTGCAGGCCTATGCAGCTGTGGAACGTGCAAAGGGGAAAGGACCCTACAAGGGATCAGGAAAAGGCAAAAACAAGAACAAAGGGAAGGGCAAGAGAGTTGTGAAGACTCAATTGTCCATCCAAGATCGGAAGGTCAGACTAGCCAGTCTGAAGAAGAACAGTCGTTGCCTGCGTTGTGGAGGATATGGACACTGGGCAGGTGACCCAGAGTGTAAGATGCCCAACAAGAAAGCCAATGCCACAACGCCGACTCCAGGTCAAACGCCAAACCAAAGGAAGGTTGGCTACTTTGCCCTGAGTGATTCCTCAGGAGATGACAATCCACTGCCTTGCATGGTCATTGGAGCAGGGAGTAGTAAGAAGAAATGTGGGTATATGGGTTATAGGACCCCCATTGCGTACCCTGCCAAGGCCAAGGCTAGGACACCACCACGTTCATCCCCTGCGACCAGTGATGGTAGCTTCACCCAGGTGATCACCTTCGCGTGTGCCCAGGGTGCCTGCCTTTCTTGCCAGGAGGGAAGATCCCATGGCTGACACGTCATTGCCCCCTGGAAGTGACCACATTTTCACGTTTGGGCAACATAGAGGTTACACATATCATGAGGTGTTGCACCAATACCCTGGGTACTATGTTTGGGGACGGAATGAATCTGGTACTTCAAGGATTTTGAATGAGTTTTTGGATTGGGTTGACATGTACTATGATGTTGATCATGGAACCCATCAAGTCACACCCAAGCCAGTCCCTGAGGACGTGCAGCCAAGACCTGCCCTGGTGCCAGGATCGAGGCACAAAACTGCCATGAAGAAACCTCCCAATCCCCCCGTTGAGATTTCTGATCATGTTTGCAAGGACTTCAGCATGCTAGGATCCAATGCATTATGATGCGCAAGACATGTAGGGATTGTGGAAGAGTCACTCAGACCCCAAAGAATCCAACATACACTCAAGACCCCGCAACTTGCAATCATGCGGTCACTGACAAGAGGGGATCAACCAAGAGCACCAGCAGAACTCATGTGGACGAGATGCCACGTGATGAGGGACAGCGCAGGGAAGCCTTGGGTAGGGCTGTAAGTCAGTCTGCTGCACCCATGGTAGATCTGGCAGAAGACCTGTTGAAGTATGAACGTTTGGAATTGCTTTTGAGTACTGAGGACTCAGTAGCAGTGATGACCCAGTTTCAACAGGATTGTGAAGTGGAGTTGAATCATGACCCCATCATGCGTGCCAGTGTCGTGATTGACATCCTGCGCCATGCCATTGAGGCCGTGGTTGAAGCCAGAGGTGCAACCCATGTTGGTTATGTGGCACTCTCCCCTTTGGAGGACGATCTGAAGTGCAGCCTGCTCCCAGTGGTTGATGTTTTGAATGATGAACACGTTTGGGGAGTATTGGATGAGGGTTGCAACTCGACGGTTTGTGGTCATGAGTGGATGGAAGCATGCAAAGCCAAACTGAAGAATATGGGTTTTGAAGTTCCTCTGCAATCTGATGAGCAGAAGGCATTCAAGGGTCTTGCAGGTAATGTGCGCACCAAGGGTGGATACAGAATTCCATTTGTGTTGGAACCTGAGGGTGGTAAGAAACTGCCAGGTGTTTTGGAGACGTATGTGGTTGGTGAGCCGGGAGATCCCACGCCGCTGTTGCTGTCACAACATGCTCAAGCAGCATTGGGTTTGGTGAAAGACATGGCAACATCCAAATGCACACTTGGTAAGAATGGTCCCACCTTGAAGCTGCACAGAACCAAGGATTCAGGACTCTTATGCGTATGTCTGAGCAAGGGGTTGATCAACATGTCATACAAGGAAACACCAACGCAGATCAGGGAGTTGAAGACCCCTGACAACATGGCATATGTTAGTACCACTCCACGTACCATGGCCCCTTCTGGACAGCAAGTGCTGATCTTTACTGCAGGGGTGGACTTTTGCCCTCCACTGGAAGCCTACGCAAATGATCCATCAGCACGCAACCTTGAGAGAGTCTGCCATAACTTTGGCTTGACTGACAGGGAAGTCTTTGTGATTGACACCTTGGATCTTGGAGACCCTCATCATGACAAGAGTTTGAGGAGTCACATCGGAACTCACCCTGACATTTTGGTAGGGCTTGTGCGCAATGATTGGACCATGCAGGTCATGCACGCTTTGGTCAGAAGAGTGCACCAGAGCGTTTTGGATGGGAAGTCAGTTGGTGTGGTAGCCTACTGCAGGAGAGACCGACACAGGAGTGTTGCCCTGGGTTGGTTGATCTCATTTGCCTTGGAGTTCTTGAAAGACAGCTGCAGTTTGACTCATACAACGCACGAGCCAGCTGGGCTCAGATGTCAGGTGGCTGTCGTGGCAGATGTGATCACTGATGCCAAGACTGAGGCAGAAGATCATGCTGGAAAGCTGTGTGGAGAGCACTGCCCACACGCACTAGGATTGCCATCCGACACCTGCACAGGCAATTTGGCCATCCAACACCTGCCACCTTGAAGAACATCCTGAAGGCAGGAAGGGCGTCTCCAGAGCTGATTGAGGCAGCTCGATTGGTGAGGTGCCAGGCGCGTGAAGATTCAGCCAAACCCCCAAGGGACCACCAAGTAGGGATTCATTTCAACTACGAGTTTAACTCTATGTTGGGTTTTGACGTGCTGGAAATGAGAGATTATGTAGGGGGGAAGTACTCAGTGATGTCAATGGTTGACATTGCCACAGGTTTCCACATGTGTGAAGTTGTGAAAGAAGGTGGAGGACGCCCTGACGAGGCTGTTGCTTATGCGGCAACCGACCGGTGGACTTGGTGACCCGGACGTGCCTGCAGAAGCGTGTTTGCTCTGCAGGGTTCCCATCTATGGTTCAATTGATGCAGGTAGAGGTTTTTACTTGCGCATGGATTCAGAAGTGAAGACAGCTGGCATGAAGGCGTCAAAGGTGATGCCTGCCCTGTACTACCATCAGGATGAGAACGGTGAATTGGATGCCACGCTGTGCACCCATGTGGATGACCTTTTGTTTGCCCACAAGCCAAGTGGAGCAAAGGTGATCCAGGAGATCCTTGGAAAGTTCTCAGTCGGGAAGACTGAAGAAGGGAGTTTCCGGTACTGTGGACGAGGCTTTACCCAGCACGATGACTTTACAGTAGAAATCGATGCTGAGGAAAACACTCGAGGGATCAAGCCAATCCTGATTGACAAGCCCCGTAAGGGAACGGATGTCGTCACGGAAAAGGAATTGACAAGTCTCCGATCAGTGACGGGGTCGCTGGCATGGGTAGCACGATACTGTCGTGCAGACTTGGCATACAAGGTGAATGAACTCCAGAGACTCTGCAATCCAAAGGCCACGGTGTCAGACCTAAGGCTGGCAAACAAGGCTGTCGAGCTGGCACACCAGAACCAAAACTTGAAGCTGGTGTACAAGGCCAATTGGATTGACTGGAAGGATCTTGCAGTGGTGACGTACAGCGCTGCGTCTTTTGCAAATGAGCTTGGATTCAAATCCCAGCAGGGCAGGGTTCATTATCTGTCCACGGCTTTGCACCTGACGGAGAAAGATCACAACATCCATGTGATCGGATTCGCTTCGTCGACACTGAAACGTGTGTGCAGAGCCACGCTGCAGGCTGAGTCGTACGCACTTCAGAGTGCAGTGGAGCACGGGATCGTCTGAGATGTGTCCTGTGCGAAATGACAGGCAAATTGGTGTCGATGACAGACTGGCACGAGCAATGCCAGATGAAGATGAAACACATTTGGGTGTCTGACTGCATGAGCCTGGTCGAATGCAGAGGTGCCCAAGAAGGTCCAGGATAAAAGACTGGGAATTGAACTTGCGGCATTGAGACAGTCCTTGTGGACAGGGAATGGCCAGAAAAGCAGTCTTGAGTACTCGCCCTGTGGGGCGAGTTGTGGTGGATCGAGAACGGCCGGATGCTCGCAGATGCGTTGACGAAGTCAATGAAACCCTGCCTTTTGACGAGGATCATGACATCCGGCCTGAATTCACTCAGACCTGCGTGAACTGTGTGGCAAGCATGCCATCAACAGGAATGGCCCGACACTGTAAAGAGTACAGACAGTCTGAAGCCACGCAGGGACATGTAGATAAGACGGGTGTGAGTTTGAGATCATTTAGATCCTTACACCATGTTCCTTGTCGTGGATTTCGGTTCAAACTACCCTGACTTAGGGCCCTTGAGCTGTTGGTTGCAAAAACGGTCCCTAGCGCAATTCAAACTAGTTTTTATTCCTGTGGGGTGAAACCCACAAATAGTAGCTTTATTCTTCAATTGTTTTCGAAAGGGAATCAATTAAAAGTCAAATTGGCCAACCTGAAATTTTCCAAAATTGGAGATGGACCCTAGTCTTTATTATTCGGGGGGGTTTAGTAAAGGGGGAGGGGATTACTTTACTTCAAGAGTTTCACAAGCCCCACATCGAGTGTGTTTCACAATTGCCAAAGTGCGGCTTGGTTCCCGTCTTCCAGCCAAACAGGCGGGGAGGTCTGAAGTTTGGACAAGGATTTGATCTTCGACCTGTGGTTCTTCGGAAAGCTTGCACACTAAAGCTGATTCAGATATGACAGATATGATATTCCAAATTCCAAATGACATTCTCCACAGACTGTACCACTAAGCGCCTTAGATCTACCAAGTCTGGACATAGATGTCAGGTAGAGTTCATTGTGACGGTCTGGATTTCCACTGGAATATCCAGGCCAAAAATTGTCAGCAAGGCGAACAATTAAGGCCTCCGAGTGACCCATACTACGGAGTACCTTAAGGCTGCAAACTCTTGGACGCCAGAGGTTACGCCTATTGAACTCAGATCATAGGACCTATTAGGGACATTTGATATCACGAGAAATACCTCATGCATCTCACACCAGGCAAGTTCAAGATATGCACCCTTTAAGGGGTTTTTTGTCAGCTCAATATTGCAGCAATAAGAGGCATCAATCAGAGGCATCAATCAGAGGGACCAATACCCAGCAAACCGTCATGTTCCAATCCCCTCTGCCCTGTGGCTCAAGTTTTGGTCAAAATATCAGGCCAGTTGTGTGGTCCGGACCCTTTGGCTCTCAATTCGGCGTTTTTTTTTTGGGAGGGTCTAAACTAATAACATCATCATGCTGCCTGAAAAGGACGACAGATTCACTTCACGATACAAGTTGTCAACCTGGTGAATCTTGACTTTTTGGTGGTTCTAATGCTTGGCAAGGGGCATATCTATCATATCTCACAGCGCCTAGACATCGGAGCTTGGTTTGTTGCGGTACAAGCAAATCTGTCTCGGTCTATCCTTCTCATGTCTATCCCTCCTCATGTATTGTAGGGCTTGCATGCGGGTGAGCATTAAGCTAGTTATTTGTGTGTTTCACGCAAGTAGAGCAGTTGGTACTGTGCGAAGTGTGCAACTTTGAAACAAATTAGTACCCATTTTTTGTAATCCTGGAGCAGATAGAATATGGCAATTTCATTAAATCCTGATTACTCAAATCGAAAGCTTGTTTTGAACTTTCAGATTGTATCTGCAGGATGATTCCAATGATTGATTAAGACCTTTATGATTTGTTTGTACATTCTGGGCAATAACCACCATGGGTGCTGTATCTGCAACTCTGCAATGGACGCCTTTAGGGCCGTGGCATTTCACCCCGGTTCCACCAAGGACCTTGTCTGACCACCAGTACCAGATGGCTGCTGTGTGTCCTCCAACACCGCGATTGGCTCCGGGCCAGGATCCTTTTCAGGAGATGGGTCTAGAAGCAGCTGCATGTCCAAGTTAGGTCGAGACATACATGAAATATCATGAAATCAGACATCAAATATCTAATGAATTCTAATGATATCTAGATTTGGTGAACTTGACTCTGAAGTCTGATAATGTGATGCTTGTGATGCTTGTGATGCTTGACATGGCACGGAACCAGGACCTGGAACCACTGGAGTTGCCACCTCTGGATGACGATGAAGCTCCAGCACTGCACCTGGAGGGCTGTGGTCCGGCGTGCCATGGCCATGGCCTGTCCAATGTGCCACGATGTGCCAAGGCCAAGGTCTGCAGTGTGGCGCCAAAAGCTCCAAGGTGCGGGGCAGTGAACGCCCTGCAGCGTGTTGCTGTTGGTGTTCAGAGCTCTGTAGGACGGATTTATTTAGTTCAGGATAGAGAAAGCGAAGGCGGTGACAGTTCCAAATAAGCGGCTCAGAAGTGCAAAGCAATCTTACCTTTTTCGCGTGCGAAGGTCGTGTTACAGTAAGTAGATCCACCCTAAAGGAATAAAAACGTTTGACAAAGTAAACCAACATTTTTCTTCTCCTGGTCTCTTTTTTGTTTGTCCTTTTTTCTGCTGCAGCATTTGCTTCTGATTGCCCAATCCCTTTTAGGAATTGCTTTCTCGTTGCCTCTTTCCCTAACCATGGCACCTTCTGCATGATACTTCTCGCAGTGACCTTGAGGCTAAGTCCTGCGACCGTGCCGTTTGAGAATTGTTTGTGGCCCAGATTTTTTCGTTGGGTGCGGACGGACCAAAACTGACGTTGTGACGTTGTGACCAAAGCTAACGGCGGTGTTGTGGATGCTGGACACCTTTAAAAGTTTTCTAGTTTTGTGCTCCACACTTAGGGAGATGTCAGCTGAGTGCAGATGGCTCCTTGTAGTTTAGTAGTTGGTAGTCATTGTAGTCTCTGCCTTGTTGCAGGGTTCCATTGGGTACCGCAGTGTGAGATCAAGGCACTATTCCTGAGCTTTGGCTGCCAGAGGTGGAGTACTGAGCCTTCCCAATGAGGGAACAAAAAAAGAGAACTGATTTCAAGGATTGGTTTTTCAATGATCATTCCACATCCCCTCAAGTTGACCCTTGGCCCAGTAATCCATGCCACCACCAGCAATTCCTGGTGAAGGCTGAGAGCACTGATGATGAATGCAATGACTATGAGGCGCTACGTGATGGCTGAAAGCGGATAGGAAAGCAGATCCGAATTCAGCCTTTAATGACTTTAATGTTCCACGTGTTCCATGTGTTTCATGCCTTCAGATAGTTGCCCAAGCAGCTTGGAGACTCAACTTTGCAGATGGTCGCTGCAGCAACAGTTCCCAGGCAGATTTTGGAGGTTGCATGCCAAGAGGTTTGCTCGCCCAGGTTGCGGAGAGCATCACTGGGTGAGAATCTCAGCATTCCTTGGTGTAAAACTCATGGCAGACTCATCAAATCCTGGACTCGAATTGACGCAAAAATATTGAAACATATTGAAACAGTTGGATTTCCTTTGCTTTGTTGAGAATTCAGTTGAGTTTTGTCAGTTGATTTCTGTGCGAGGTTGAAATTGGGGCCCAGCTGGGATTTGCAGAAGGTTTCGTCCTGTGGATACAGAGGCGGATCGCCAGCTGAAGCGCCACTCTTCTTGCTCCCGGTGAGAAGCAGACTTTAAGAGCAAATTCAGAATTTGGATGAATTTGGGGGAATACTCTCAGGGTTGCTCCAATCTATTGTAGGAAAAAAATGCCACAAGACAGGGACATTGGTTGGCCGTGATTTTACGACTCTATATTCAGCAGATTCAGCCCATTTCCCCCCCTGAGTCTGCGAGGCGAGCGCTTCTCAGTTCAGCTCCCAAGTTCGGTGTGTTCCACGCGCTGTTCGTCCCCGGGTGGGCTATCTAATACCGTCGGGCACCCTAGGGCCCTGGAAAGTTATGGTTTCCATGTGGACTTAAGTCATGGTTGGTTCACATGGGAAGAAAAACACATGTTTATAATATTTTATAATGGGTACAGTATGTCTACCAAAGCCCAAAAAAATATGGGAAGGCCCAAATCCTGTTAATCTTGCTCTTTAAATGTTTGAGATCCAGAGCTTGAGAGATAGGGTGTTGTTGCTCTTGGACAGTCATTTCCGGTGTTATCCCTAGAACACTGGCTTCAGGATTAAATGTATTCCCAAAGACCAGAAATAGAATCGAATCTCCTGATTCAATCAGTTGAATCATGTTGAATCGAATCCAATCAAAGCATCGCAGGCAGGTTCTTTGCTCTACATTTAAGGACATGCAGAATTCCAGTGGTTCCAGTGGTTCCCTACATGTTTTGACGTTTTTTTTGATCCGGTTCTCCCTTCTCAGGATTCGCCATGGCCAGCCAACTGTGACCATCCTCGAGAGTCCATGCACGGGATCCCGGCAGCGCTTTCCGAATGATCCCAAGGTTTTTGTTGCTGGTGTTTCCCTTTTATTTTTTGGCACAGAATGGACTTGTTTGACTGCTGTTTCAAAAACTCTATTTAACATGGCAGATGCACTTTGTGTTTTCTTGAAGTCATGTAATCAACGGTCAAGTCCATCGAAGTCTCTTGACTTGCGGGCTTTCTGGTGACAGTCCCGGTATCAAACTTCGTAGCCCCAACAATGACCCCATAGGCCTGTGGCGTTTGAGCTCTTGGTATCTGGAGGCTGGTGAAGTGACCTTTGAGGTGTGGGTTCAGGCTTGATTTCCTGCAACAGTTGGAGAGATCAGAGAAAATCCATGGAATTCCGAACCAGTTATAACTTAAGAGTCCACATGCAACAGTCTTTTTCCAAGGCTCAATCACTTTCATCTCATCTCGGGGCTCATACTCCTTATTTAATGCTTCAACATCTATGCGTACGCATCAATTTTCTCAGCATCACTTTCGCATGTTTTTCATCTTAGTTGCTGCATCTTCCCTGAAACTCTCCGTTTCGACCTACAGATTGATTCAACTCAAAGCTATCGTGGTATGTTTGCTTCATAACTCTCACTTTTCAATCTGCTTCTCCCGTTTTCAGCCAAATATCGCCAATTTATATAATTTTACATATCCTTTTTTTGGCCCATAGGCAGTTTGATTCTTAGTGCCCGAGGCGCTTGAGCTACGGAAGGGATCGTTTGGAAGGTCTTTTGGACACCAGGTCTGATCATGCTTACAGAGGACCAAAGAGGACCGAAGGGAACTCTTGGAGTCACAAGAAGGAATTGGAGAAAAGTTTGACCAGGACATGACAATAGGTGTGCTTGCAGCGAGTGTATGACGGAGACCAGACGGAATCAGTCACTAGCAGAGTCAGACCACCCTGAGTCAATCACCCCCCACGTCGGAGTCAGTCACCCTCTGCGGCGTGCCTCGTGAGCCATCAAAGTGACATGGTTTGTTTTATGGTTGGTTTAGGGTTTCTTTAGGGTTGTTTCAGGGTCTATTTAGGGTTGGTGTTAGGGTTGGTTTAGGGTTTCTTTAGGGTTGGTGTGATTTTAGGGTTTATTAGGGTTGACGTAGTGTTGGTTTGGGGTTTATTTGGACTCGGCTTAGGATTTTTTTAAGGGTTGGTTTAGGGTTAATGTGGGGTTTTGTCAGGATTTGTTTTAAGTTATTTTTCCCGAATGCGTAGCAAGGGTTCCCGTTTCACTCTGGGGGTCTGGGGGTTGAGGGTGTGTTCGCTAGACGTTGCATTCACGGTCGCAACCGTTCGCAACCGTTCGCAACCGTTCGCAACCGTCCGCAACCGTTCGCGCGATTGCTATATGGCCGTGCCTATGGTAAGTTATGCAGAGGTGGTCATTTTTGGAGGTTTCCAACGTCTCGTTGCTTTGTTTCGCGTGGCAGGCGTGGCACTTCGTGACATTCAGAGGTGTTTTGTAACGTGTCGAAAGTCGTTTTGTGTGGCAGGCGCGATACTTTTGCGACGTTTTCAGAAGATGCGTGGCAGTTTTCGTGGCAGGCGCAGCACTTTGGACGTGACCATCGTCATTTTTCGTGGCAGGCGCAGCACTTTGGACGTGACCATCGTCATTTTTCGTGGCAGGCGCAGCACTTTAGACGTTTCGTGTAGTGTGTTTTTTGCAAATCGCATTGGCAGGGCTGCGTCAAGTGGCGACAAGGTGCAAATTCGGTGGCAGGCGTGGCATTTTGTGACAATGTGCTGAAAATTGACGGAAGCCTTGCACGAAACATCGATTTTGAGGTTGCAAGATTTAGAGGTTCCTAGGAAAACTCGTAGGAAAACAGCGATTTTGAAGCTACAAAGTGTAAAAATTGGAGCAAGTCTCGCACGAAATGCTCGTTTTGGTGCTCCCACATGTCTCGTCTCGAGTCTCTGGTTTTCCCGTGGCTGCGCCGTGTCTATGGGGGAAGCTGCAAAACCTGTCCTTTTGTCATGTTGCCAACTGTGAAAATTGCCGGAAGTCTCGTACGAAATGCTGGTTTTTCTGCATCCACGTGTCTTGTCTCGAGTCGCTCGTTTTCCTGTGGCGTCGCCGTGTCTATAGGGGAGGTGGAAAACATCTCCTATTCGAATGTGTCCAAGCAGGTTGTCATGTCGTTTTGCGTGGCAGGCGTGGCACTTTGTGACATTCCAACCTGTTTGATAGCGTGTCGAAAATATCAAAATTGGAGGAAGTCTCGCACGAAATGCTCGTTTTTTTGCACCCACGTGTCTCGTCTCGAGTCTCTGGTTTTCCTGTGGCGTCGCCGTGTCTATGGGGGAAGCTCCGCACTCCACACTCTACACTTTACACTCCACACTCCACACTCTACACTTTACACTCCACACTTTACACTTTGCACTTTACACTCCTCACTCCTCACCTGAGACTTTACACTCCACACTCCACACTTTACACTACACTCTGCACTTTCCACTCCTCACTCCTCACTCCTCACTCTACACTTTACACTCCACACTCCACACTTTACACTCCACACTCCACACTTTACACTACACACTCCTTACTTTACACTCCACACTTCACACTCGACACTTTCCACTCCACACTCCACACTCCACACTCCACACTCCACACTCCACACTCCACACTTTACACTCCACACTCAACACTTTACACTCCTCACTCCACACTTTACACTCGTCACTTTACACTCTACACTCCACACTCTACACTTTACACTCTACACTTTACACTCTACACTCCGCACTCCACACTCTACACTTTACACTCTACACTCCACACTTTACATTTTACACTCCACACTCCACACTCTACACACTACACTTTACACTCCACACTTTACACTCCACACTCCACACTCTACACTTTACACTCTACACTATACACTCTACACTTTACTGTACACTCCACACTCCACACTTTATACTTTACACTCCTCACTCCACACTCCACACTTCACACTCCTCACTTTACACTCCACACCCCACACTCTACACACCACACTCTACACTTTCCACTGCAGACCCCACACTCTACACTTTACGGTCCACACTCCACACTTTACACTCCACACTTTACACTCCTCACTCCACACTCCACACTTTACACTCCTCACTCCACACTTTACACTCCACACTCCAGACTTTACACTCCATACTCCAGACTTTACACTCCACACTCCAGACTTTACACTCCACACTCCAGACTTTACACTCTTCACTCCACACATTACACTCCACACTTTACACTCCACACTCTACACTCCACACTTTGCACTCCACACTCCACACTCTACACTTTACACTCTACACTATACACTCTACACTGCACACTTTACACTTTACACTCCACGCTTTCCACTTTGCTCTCCTCACTCCACACTTTACACTCCACATTTTACACTCCACACTCCACACTTTACACTCCACACTCTACACACCACACTCTTCACTTTCCACTCCACACTTCACACGCTACACTCTACACTCCACACTCTACACTTTACACTACACTTTACACTCTACACTTCACACTCTACAATTTACAAACTCCACACTCCTCACTCCACACTTTACACTCCTCACTTTACACTCCACACTCCTCACTCCACACTTTACAGTCCTCACTTTACACTCCACACTCCACACTTTGCACTTTGCACTTTACACTCCTCACTCCACACTCTACACTCCACACTCTACACTCCACACTCTACACTTTACACTCCATACTCCACACTCTACAGTTTACACTCCGCATTCTACACTTTTCACGCTCTATGCTCCCCACTCCACACTTTACACTCCACACTCCTTACTTCACACTCCACACTCCACACTCTACACTTTCCGCTGCACACTGCAGACTGGTAACAAGGGAAACATGTACAAGACTGTTCAAATAAACTATTGCAGAAAGGTATTGTGCGTGACTGCATAACCATGTGTTTTGACATCTGTACCATTAACATACGTGTGAGCATTCGGGGTCGTGGGCTTCATCTTGTTTTTCAGGTTTGGCTTAAGGTTTCTATAGAGGTTTGGTTTAAGGTATATTAAGGCTGGGCTTAGGGTATGTTCAGGTTTGGTCTGGTTTAGTAGTTATTTCGGGTTGGTTTAGCGCTAATATAGGGCTTCGTCAAGGTTTGTTTCAGAGGTCTATTTGTGGTTTACTTAGTGTTGGTTTGGTTTTTTCTTGGCTTGGCCTAGGGTTTATTCAGGTTTGGTTTAAGGTTGAATTAGGGTTTCGTCAGGGTTTGTGTGAGGGTTGGTTTAGGGTTTCTGCAGGGTTTGTTTTAGGGTTTATTTAGTCTTGGTTTGGGGTTTATGGATGGTGTGTAAGGTTTCTTTAGGTTTTGTTTAGGGTTGAATTATTCAGGGTTTGTTTTAGGGTTTGTTTGGTTTGTTTTGTCCTTCCAGGAGTGACCGACTCTTTGTTGCTGACTTTCTGTTTTTCTCCGGGTTCCTTGATCATCCTCCAGGCTTCTGAGGGGTGACCGACTCTTTGTTGCTGACTTTTTCTCTCCCGTTCATGGTTTCCCTGCATCCTCTCCTGGTGTTCAGCGGTGACTGACTTTGTCCTATGGGGTTCCTGACTCGATGTTTGGGGCGACTGACTCGGGTGACTGACTCTGTCTTTGCCCGTGCTTTTGTGGCAATTTTTCAGATGTCGGAATTTGACCCCGCCGCAGGACCAATATCAATCAATATCAACATAGTATATTTCAAAATTCCAGCCCCTGTGAACCTGGGTGCTGCCCTGTGGGCACCAGTTTGGCGGCCAGATAAAGGATCATTTCCATTCCTGCCATCGATGCAGAAGTGATGCGGCGTGAAGGTGAGTTGCAATGGATCGGGATGATTCTTACATAAATATCCTCAGGTTGTTGTCCCTGTTGCGGTAGAGGGTTTTGGTTGTTGTTGATTTGCACGTGGGAGGTCAAGCAACATCTTGGAACCCTTATAAAATTTGTGCCTGAACAGTTCACTGCAAGCTTGAACTTTTGCTGCACCGAACTCAAACATGGACTGAACCACCCTGTAAAACTGTTGGAGATGCTCTGCTTTAAACTCACTTCATGCCAGCGCGCGAGACGGATCCGAGATATGTGCAGCGTTCTCCAGTGCAGCAGTTGTTCACCTGTGCTGCGGGTGTATAGTGATTTGTCGTGAAACTGGTCCAATTTTCAAGTGAAGCTGGAGGGGTGCGAAATCGGTTCAACCAGACAACATGAAATATAGAGATTAAAATGAAAAACCCCACGGAAGAAGATCAAGAATCCAGAACGCACTTGACAGAAAATTATGACGATCTTGAAAAGTATCAACAAATATCAACGCCATGTGTTGCAAGTTACGTCAGTTGCGTGTGCTTCTTCTCTCAAAGCTTCAGTCGCAGCACGAGTCTTGCACGCAATTGCTTCTGTCATTGGTGGCCCTAGCAGGGAACACCAGTGCAGGCTTGTTCTTTTGTTCTCTGCCCTGGCTGTCATGAATATCAATCTGTGAATATCTGTTACACTTGTTAGTAAATTTTTGGTACGTGGCAGCCAGGGAAGATCGAACGAGCCTCATTCTGACGAAGATGGCTGCAGATCCACAATCCCCAAGAAAGGCAAAGGGTTGACAACAAGAGAGCTACGGAGGCAGCAACCCAACTGCTGAATTGGTTGCTTTCCGAGCCCAGTTTAAGCGTTTGAAACCTCAGGATGTTTTGTAGTTGATCCCTTTGAGGGGCTTTGCTCAGATGCCATGTTGAAGCTCGCCACTGAGCCTAGCGCCTCAGGGTCTTTGCGAATGTTGGGAACACTGCCGTGCAGACATCGCAACCCAATTCGCGCTAAATCCATGGCCTGGATTTCAACGGGCACATGGGTCAAGACTCCTGGATTCAAGTCAATATTCCTTCGCCGGTGGTTAAAATGATCAAGTCTGGTTCAAACTGCGCTGCGGCGCTACAGAACATATTCACGTCCACAACGACTGGCTACTACCAGTAGCATTTTGGGCTGCAGCCTCTTCTTTCTGGTACAGTCGCCCATCGCTCGAGTAGCGAGGGATTGGTTGCTTTTGTTGGGTGTTACACACACCTGAAATAAGAGAACCAGGCAGGGCCACATTGCACATCATTGCACCATGAAAATCCATGAAGTTCTGACGAAGTGTTTTGGATTTTTGGAGATCCAGTGGTTCAGCATGATCAGCATGAGCCCCTCGAGGCCTCGAGTTGTGGCTCTGCCAGACTGTCTCTGCTAGCAATTGCATTGATTCAGAATAATCAGAATATACATTGTGGCTCTCAGATTTGAGCATTTTCAGCGAACCTTTCCCCTTTTCGGGCGAAGCATTTGCCAAGCTCATGGAAGATAGAATCCATGACGGCAATAAGGAACTGATCGACACGATGGCTGGTGGGCAGATGCTTATGCGGATGGGGTCAGGCTCCAGCGGTGTAGTTTCAGTGATACACAGCGCTTGTGGTGGGCAGCTGAACTTGTTGGGCAGCCTGGTATTCCTGTGCGGCGGCACAGATGAAGGTTGCAATTGGCTGCGTAGCGCAGTCCGTTCCAGATTCCAGCCAAAGTCATTTGTGTTTTGACGTTTTGACGATATGTGTATTGACAGATATGGCGTTCAGAAACGGCATTGGCCATTTCCTATGGACAGAACATTGACGGAACTACATGATCCAAAACCTACTGTATGTCTTTTTACGGGCCTGTTGGCCTGCGGCATCCACCTCTAAAAACACCAGTATTGGCAAACGACGAGCAGAGGAAGAGTTGCTGAGCACTCTACCCTAAAAACCCCAATCTCTAAGACTCTAAGCTCTAGTTTGGCCTACCCAACTCACTGAGTAGAGTGAGCCAGTGTCAAGGGTTAACCCTAAAAACCACAATCCCTCGACCCTGAATCTTGGAACTCTGGTTGATTGGTCTGCTGGCAAAGTTGCATTAATTGGGGTCAGAATCAACTCAAGATTTTACTTTGTGTATTGTCGTTTGGACAAGGTACGAGGTGGTGGCGCATCCTAGAACGCCAGTGATCGCTTTGCCATTGGCAACATTAGAGCCCTCTTCTCTTATCCAAAAATTCAAAGAATTGTCATGACTTGTGAATAGATGCAGAGACCAGTGTCGAAGAACTATTTGCTATGCCAAAAATTTGGATCTAGCTATGCCAGATTTGGAATTGGTTGAGCTCACTAGCCACTACTAATCGCTGAGGTATGTGATATGAATCTCCCAAGAAATTCCGACAACACTGGGCAAAGGCTTGGACCAAAACCGGTAGACATTGACTGCTGCCACACGGTAGCTATAGCAGACATTGCCACACAGTTTCTGGATGCCAGAAAAGCATAGAAAAGATGTTTTAATTTCCGGAACGGCAGATGAAGCCAGAACTGCATGATAAGCTTAGATTCCCTTGACCAACTGCTGTTCCTTGAGGAACTATGAAAACTCGAGACCCGTACCCGATTGTGAGTTGGCGTAAACTAAAGCTGGAAGTTCGAAAAAAGACAAAAACATGTTCGAAAAAGTTATCGAAAAGAAACCACTACACCCAACACACCCAATGTCCTTGTATCGAATTCCTTTAGTTTGACGGATTTGTAAAGGCTGCTCACCACACTTCTTCCACAGCTGAAAGTCTGCATGACTCGTATTTTGCAGAGTGAAGCTCTTGAGATGCTCCACAGATCTCGCGTCCTGGGATGCAGGATGACGCGGCAGATTTGAGGGTTCAAGACTCGCACTGCCTGTATGAAGGCGAACGTTCCAGGCTGAATCCAGTTCTGTTGGGCGCCCTTTATTTTCTGCAATATGATGAGGCATGATGGGGTATATGGGGAGTTGGAGAATGGAGATTCAGGCTGAATCAGGTGGTTCACAGTGTAGTTAGCCTCCATGTATGGATGATTGTGATTTATATTATGATGATTTTCCCAGCTATGAATCTCGAAGTGCGGGAATTTCCCAGCCATTGATGACACTGTTCATACTGTTGAGGGCTGAGCATCCCAGCAAAAGGTGGTAGCCTGGATGTGCCTTCCTGTCATGCCGCACTGAGAGAGTGATATGTGATGATGCCATCTACCTTGGTGACGGACAGAATGGAAAACGTTGCCCGAAACCCAAGACAAAAATTGAATTGGACATGTTGCACTAGATGGATTTGAGATGATTGAATAATATTTAAGATATTTGTAGATGTTTGTGGATTTATGTATATACCGATACTGAAGTTTCGTGTAGCACCGCCAAGTGATCCTGTCCTCAACTTTCCACATGGGATTTCGGGCACGAAGTGTCAGTGCCACTTGCAGAGTTCCAGCTTTGCATCTCGTCCTGAAAGACGTTTGGCCTAGACGCGTTGAGGAAACGAGGAAACGCGACACGATTAAGTCGGGTCCGCGGCTCCCTGCCCGTGGCCGCACAAAATGCAGCGGGAGGTGTGGAGCAGAAGGGAGCTCGCTACTGTCAACGCGACAAGCTTCCTGTACAGAAGACCCCTAATTTTGTTACCACCACTGCGCGAGTTTGAGGAACGGCGAAACGGTTTTTTGGGGCCCTTCTTTTGTGAAGCTTGGGAGCATCCAACATGCCTCTTTCGTTTGAAGTAGCGCGGTGGTGGGTTCTAATCAATTGAAATATCATGAAATATCACACTTGATCCAATTGCAAACATTGGGTTTCGGTTTGGGGCCAGTTGCCATGCTTGAAAATCCAAGCGCAGTCGCTGTGCCCCGGAGGGAGCTGTTCGAGGGCTTTTTTGAGGGGCTTCCCCGGGCAAGACTCCGTGTACAGAACCTGACAGACCAACAAACTTCCCTCCATACAGTAGACTAGAAAAGAGTGCTTTTGGTGCCACTTGTATCCACTTGTCGCTGCAGTGTTTGCTATTGTTTTGAGCACTTCTTCATGCCGATTCCTTTTTGACAATGCAACATTTCCGAAGGCTTAAGCTCTTGATACTGCTTCGGCCTTGCCAAAGGCCAAGATCTACAGGTGAAGCAGGGCCAACGTCAGAACGAGGTGAGCTTAGCATTTGAACGCAATGTTTTTCCACATCTCCCACAGACTTTCATGGCACCTTCTAATCACTTGGAACTTGCATCTGAATCTGGAGCTGCAATGTTTGCAGTGCTCCACCATGGTCGCCTTGCTTCTGGTGTAACACGTCTGGGACAGCAATGGCGCCATGCGTCTTCCATGCAGGTCGGGTTTTTGCCACAATACACGGTATACATGTTACCGACACCCTCAATTGATCTCAATTCAAAGTTATGAATTCGAAATCCCGAATACCCTCTGGTAAACTAACATAGCTATGGAAAATCACAAATTTTCATGGGTAAATCAACTATAAATGGCTATTTTCAATAGCTATGTTAAATTACCAGAGGGTATCGATCAATATCATGGATGGATTCTCCAGATCATCACTTGCAGGTAGTGGTGTGTGGTGCCGGTCTGGCAGGCGGAAGGAGAATCCCATATCACTGCTGATTATGGGCCACATATGGGGGATGATTGATGGCTGTGGATGATTATTGATTGATGGTGATTATTGATGATTGACGGGGATTATTGATGACTTTAAGACAAGTATATTTCAATATATTTCAAATGATTTCCGGCATTTCGTAGATGATCTGGATGGTGGCTTCCCATATTTTGCCAACAGATGTAGAGATTCAACTATATACCTTGAAGCGGGGATATAACATACATTGGCTTGATGGTTTCATTTGTTTGTTTTCCATCTAAAGAATGGGGTGATAATCCCCGTTCTCGATCACATTCTTTTTTCCAGTGTGCAACTATTGATGATAATAGTCTCTACTCTCTGCCAAGCGGCAAGCTCACCAGCTGAATTGGTACCAGGTG